CTATTTTCCTAGAATTGTATTGAGAAGGGAGGTTGTGCCACATATGAGTAAGCGGACTCAAGACCTGAGCTGCAGCCCTGGTTCTGCCTCCGAGGAACGTATTAGTTTTAATCAGAACCTTTTGAAGTTTGGTTTCATGATCCCTGAGCAGGAATTGTATGTTTTTCATTCCCTTAGGATTCTCAGTACTGAGCACACTGGCTTCATAACACATTTATACTCCTTTCCCATTCCAAATGAAAAAATACACGAGCAAGTACTTTGTGAACTATAAAATAATATATTAATGCAGATCGTTCTTAAAAGCTGTTTCAAACGCAATGTAATTAGTCTATTCACTTTCTTCTCCAAGTATCTGGGTCTTTCGCCTCCGTAATAGGGATCCCCTTAAGAAGATATGGAACATCAGAGACCACAAGCCGAAACAATACTGTCCGTCCATTAGGACCAGACTAGATATTTTATGTAGGCAGCACATGCATTTTGTGTTTCTTTGGCCCATTGCCTCCTGAGAGTGCATTTCTGTGCTAGTACAGTGAGCCAGAAGTAGAAACGATCAGCTGCAATTCTTCCCTGTATCTCATTAGAGGTCTAGTTTCCCCTTAATGCACATGAAGACCTTTCATTAGCAATAATGGGAGCTGGATGCATTAAAGAGAAAAATAGACCCTCACCATTGTGATCTGGGAGATGAGGTTGTTGGGACACTTGCCTGCCTGATTGGAGAATTATGCCATTCAGAGATGCATGATTCGACGAGCGACAAAATTACAATCTTTGTGACTGTTTTAAAAAACGAAATGCAATTTAAAAACCTCAAAATGGAGAAGGGCAAGAATCAAAACTAAAGAATCACAGGCAGATTGATCTATGAATGAGTTAAGCAAGTGAAAGCCAAATGACAAGATAAACAAAGGTGGGGAAAGATTCCCCAGGGGATCTGACAAAATAAGAACCGTTTCCAACACACACAGAGTAAAACACTGGCAAGAGAGACTCCGGTCCAAGAAGAAAAGGCAAGGATCATTTACCGTCAAAAGCAGTAAACACTGCTGAAAGTTAAACAAATCCTTTGCCTCCATGTCCACAAAGAAAGATAGAAGGTGCCAGAAATGGCTGTGCCCTGGAGAAGGGTCAATGAAAAAAAAATTCCTGAAGGAAATAGAAGTGACACCTCAGTTTATGTCTTGAGGTTGACACAAATGCCAGAAGCAGTAAGAATATTTTCCTACTGCAATCACCTCAACTTCAAATAAGGACAGTTGTAAATGGGCCACCCTGCATTAAAGGTCTGATGGAGAAGTGGTAGTCCCTTACCTTTGGTTCAAATGCAAAAACCAGGAATTTTTGGATTAAAAGAAGAGAAAGTCGTCTTTACCTTTCTTTATAGTACATCAGTGGATTAGAATTTTCTTATGCATTTTTTTGGAGGGGAGCGAGGATACACAGGGATAGAAACTAAATGTGTATCTGCAACCTACTGAAAAGGACTTCCAGCAAGTCTTAGAGGAAGCATGGATTCAGCACCTCATTTCCTATCCCCTCAGCTCACGAAGGTTCCAGGGAACACCTAAATTAGTAAAACTCTGAGGCTGTATCCAATCTTTGGTAGACTGCTTGCCATTGACTCAAAGAGAGGATTGAAAATGGGTTGCCTAACTCACAGTCCTAAGAAAATGCAATTGACGTCAACATCAATCCCATGGAATCAAATTGTGACTCTAATAAACTGATCATATGACAATGGATGTGAGTGCTTAACAGCCTCTGAGAACAAAGAGGACACAGCTACTCAGAGAAAGAAACGACTGGGATAGGCCAAACCCTTACAGAATGGCCCAAATTCCCCAAGGTGGGGGTGGCGGCTCTTGGAAACCATTTCTGCATCCATGGATTGTAACCGTAAAATCACTAATGATGCTTCAGTATAGCTATTCCGGACCCTGCCAGGAGCTGTGGACCCAAATAGGCTTAAGGTGCATTATAAGGAGTGTCCATCTATGTTAAAAAAGGCTCAAGGCAATGGGTATTAGGCTACAGCTATTTGCTCCAGCTAACTGCAATTTCCCAGTAGCTCTGGCTCCCCATCCCCTCACTCCCCGTTCTCTACTAACTTGGAAGCAGAGCAAACCCTATTCAAATCCATCCAAAGATGTTCAGACTCCAATTTGTGAGTCAGCACCTAATAAGCAGCTGCTAACTCCCCCAACACAGCACGCAGCCTGTGGGATGCAGAGATCACCCACTGCTTTTCCCTCCCCTTTGTCTTAACAGACCCAGATCTTCGTCCTTCCCTTCATTATTTATCTACTAACCACTGTCATCCATTCCAAACATCCCAAATAAGGACGGGACTGTCTGCTGGGATGGACCAAAGCACTCTCCAAGGCACTGACGACTTGATCATGCTTTCTACAGATGGGTACTTGAGTCATTTGCTAAAATAAGCCCTAGAGCTATTCGGGTTGACCCCCGGGTTAGCACTATCCCTTTAAGCACCCTTGCTCCACTCAGAGATCAAACTATTATAGAAAAAGATGACCAGTGACAAGAGAAGGAAAAAACCTCTGATAAATGTATGTTGCATATTTAGTTTGAAAGAGAAATGTTTACTAAAAAAATGGAGTTTACAACTCAAATAAAAAAAAAATCTTTGATAACATTCTGATATCCATACCAGAGTTCAATGCCAGGAGGCGTAAAAGTGAAGGTGACACAGATTTTCTAAAGAATGATACCAAAACACTGTGAACGATGTAGTAACATTTTAGAAGACACTAAAATTTAAGTATTTAGATGCTGTAAATGAGAAACCACACCAAGCTCCATTAATTAGATCAACATTAGATAACCCCATCTCAATTTCTAAGCTTGCAAAAATGAAGGAAAAAAGTTTAGTTTACCTTGATATTAAAAGAATAAGGTATTTTGGGTAGGCTAAAGATTCATTCTCTCAGGTATTTTCAATAATAATGCTATGTTTTCTAGAACCTTATAAAGCATTATCAATGATTATAGGGTTGATGTCAAATTTTTACTTTCTTGGTTCATAACATTTAATTTTCCATTCGATTAACGTGCTAGGTTTTTCTTTTTGTTCTTGGGTAAGTGAATGATTTATTAGACCTGGTACTCAGTTTATGAGCTTTTCTCATTTCAACTTGAAGAAACTGCAAATATTTATAGAAGATGAACCACATGTATTTGTTCCTGAAAAATGTCAGAATATAGCACTCAAATCAAATGCCGAACAGAAGCTATTCCCTAACACTACATACTGCAGATTTAATTTCCATTGACATGTTTTCCTAAACAGTTTTTCCCACTACAGTAATTCCTAACTCAAAAACTACTGAAATCTTCTGTTAAGTGTGTACTCACGTCTTACTCTGAGTTATGAGTATCTAAACAGTCATATGGGATTTATGAAAGAATAACACCTTTAAAAAATATAATTGAATTCTGTTAATCTTACACCATGAGGAAAACAGTAATTAAGGTTATGTTTGAACTGACTTTCCTTCCTATCACTTTGCTCTTGGATACTTCAAGAGTGCTTTGTTTAACTCCACAAAATTCCAAATCTAGGCAGTCAGAATGCAGGGAAGTAAACCAATAGAGTACGCAATCCAAAAGGGCAGAGGCCATGGCCAGTTGTGCTTATCAATACATCCGCTCTGCCAAACAGTCACACTCAAACATGTATTAACATAAATAAGGAATCACCATGGGTGGGAGTGCAAATCAGTATAACCTTTCTTGAAGGCAATTTGGCAATAGAGAATTTTATTTACCCTTTGACCATTAAGTCCATTTCTAAGAATGTATCCTAGGGAAATAATTACATATGTGAGCAAGTACTTGGATTCTAGAATGTTCAAGGCCCTGAGCTTTTTAAAAGCAAAAACCTGCTAACAGTCCGATATCCTAAATAGATGGCCTGGAGTGTATACCTCATCATACTACTTAGTGCCTGCCACATGCCATCCACTGTTCCGTGTGCCTTACCCCAATCCCCAGGGAACTTCTTTAACACTCATGCCCACCCTATATATGCCCTATATATGCTCATCCCCTTTTCTCTTCTCACCTGGATGACGAAAGGAGGCACAGGGAGGTTAAGTAATTTGTCTAAGGACACACTAAAGGGAACAGAGCCAGGTTTCAACCCGGCTGTGTAATCCCAGAGTCCCAGTGATGCCTCCAAAACAATGCTGAAGAAAGGATTTCCCAACTCTCCTTACCCTTTATCTGTTCCTTCCGACTATCCTCCCTAAGTTCTATCTTCAAAGTGAAAGTCACCAAACGAGTCTCACAGGCACATCTCCACCAGCTGGCAGATTTCCCTGATTTTGGCATTACATGAATAGCAGGATCTCTGATAATCTCTCAAATACAAAATTATTAAAAGTGTTTTTTTCCCCAACGTACTAGTGTTCTTCCAACTCTTTCTCCACTCACAAAACTTGCTATTAGCAAAATTTTATTTCATAGTATGGAAAAGATCAACATGAAGTCCTAAATAAAAAAATACACACAGAAGGAATTTCATTTTCATACAAAATATAGTCCTTTGGCGAAATGAAATTTTTTTTTTTTAAATTCCTGTGCCCATTGGCCTATCAGAATGGGGAATGGTCAACCATCACCTGAAGAAATGAAAAGGTGGATCTGCAGGAAGCACACCAAGTGATTCCAGGCCTGGGGCCCACCGGTGCCTGGGCAAGTGCATGAAGCCTGGGCCTCTAGGGGGCTCATGTGAGAGCAATGAAGAACTAGAACTCACAGTAGGCGCCAGGACGTCTGGGTCAGGAGCCGGGACAAGCAGCACTAGACTGGTTGAAATGTGGCACTTCAGAGACAGCAAAGGTTATGGACCCTACAGGTCTGAGCCTGGTGAAGCTTCTGGTCAAGGCTGTTTTCTTTTGAAAATAAATAGGTATAAGGAAAACAAAAACAAGAAGCTAGACATAATATGTCCAAAACCAATGAGCAAGCAGTCAAGATTGTTTTATTTTTATTTTATTATTGGCTAGAAAGACTTTGCAATACACAAATGTATTTCTTCCAAGAGTCGCCCCTTGTGATCTTAAGAGTCTATGTTAACTCCTTTTCTGGAAACTTCCTTTTCTCAGTTGTTGTATTCTTGAAGAGCCTGGGCCATGAAGAGTTTGCCTAAGTTTTGGGCAGTGAATTCCTTGATGTTCTGGCAGTAAGTATTAATCTGGCCTGTGCAATTGGAAAAGTGAGAAAGAGAGTCAAAACGTTCCACAAATTATAAAAGGACCTAAAACACTAGTCAAACAAGAAAATCAGCATAATACAGAATCACCAGTATTTTTTTTGTTTTAAATCAAGAGGGTATGAGAATCAATTCTATTTTTCTATAGGAGATAAAAAAAGACTGTAAGTTCTTAAGCCATCTTCCACTCTTGGTTACATGGAGAAGAAAGAAAAACTACAACTTTTTTGGTGTGTGTAGTTTTTTGTTTTTTTGGGTGAGGAAGATTGGCCCTGAGTTAATATTGGTGCCAATCTTCCTCTATTTTTTTGTAGATGGGATGCTGCCACAGTATGACTTGATGAGCAGTATGCAGGTCCACACCTGGAATCCAAACCTGCAAACCCTGGGCCACCGAAGCCAAGAGTGCGAACTTAACCACTATGCCACGAGGCCAGCCTTAGAAAAACTACGGCTTTTTAAAAGGTTATCAGCAGTTAGGTACATATTGTATATCAATCAAAATGTACTGACTCTGCAAATTAGACCTACACTGCACTGAGACAAGCGAGAAAACAGCACAGCCTCTTCTTAGCTAGGTAGAAAAGAGATACCAAGTCACAGAACTGCAAACTAACCGGACTCTCCTGACCCTGATGTGAACAAGTAAGCTGTTTTCAGTCCACGATCTGGGAATATTAAGGGCTGCTCCCCCAAGCCAAGACAGAGCAGGAGCAGAGCGTCCACATGAAGAAAGAGCTCCATCACTGCTTCTAAGTCTTAAAACTAAGGATCTAATCTGATGCAATGGCGACACATTTTTTGAATTGGACCTTAAGTAAGGAAACTGTCTCAGTTCCCCAAAGTTAATCTGTATGTATACTAGAAACTTTTACGGAATTTGGATTTTTCCCTCACACTAAAAATATACCAAGAGAACTGAGAAATTGTGAAAGATCACCTTTTCTTTGAGTAGGATTTTCACTCTAATAAATCTCTCACAGACAACTGGCTGATTGACTCAAACAGTGTTTAGCAATAACATTTACAAGGAAATAGGATAATTATAGCTAAATAAAGCACGACAATTACATATTCAAAATTCAAGTCCTAGCATAGGGTACAAGATCTCTACCACTTGAAGGTGGTGTTAAATGTTAAGTATCTCCAAGGAAAGTCATCCAGAATTATATTTATGTTGTTATAATTTAAGTCAAAGTAAGGAAAGGACTTCTTCAAGTCAGAAAATTTAACTCAATTCAAACACCCACGTACAAATTTGGGCTCAGTGCTAGGCTAGAACATGAAAAGTAAGGGGTTTCAGTTAAATGATCTTTCACATTATGAGACTGTAAACATTTTTTCTTGGTTTCCATGAAAGATGACTCAAATAAAACCTTTCCATTTTAGAAAGTTTATAATGCCATCTCAAAAATGTTTAGACAAACAGAATGAAGCACTGAAAAGACTTTAGAAATAACAAAGACTGACAAATTCTTAAATTTCAGAAATTACAGGTGCTAGATTCAAATTCACTGTTTAACCATTTTAAATACACTAGCTTTTATGACCTATTTTTCTCTTTGTAAATCTCTCATTGTCTTCTTCTTCCTAAAGAACACAGAAAACCAGCCATGTTTTGCACTGGCTAAGGATACCTGCGATGAGCAGAGAATCCATCCTGGCAGGGGGCTGGGGTGGCTTGAAGAGTTTGGACAGATCCTCTTCAGGGAGTGGGGGTTCTCCTCGACTCTGGCGCTGCATGTTCTCCTGCTGGCGACGCTGCTGATACTAAAATTCAGAGGGAAAATGATTTGGTTATTTTTCTCTACCTGAGGAGAAAAAAGGACATTCCTCACTTATGCAACCAGCAAAAACCTAACTGCTCTGAATTCCAATCTTAGTTTTATAAATGATAACCCTTGGTAACTCTTGCTTCTAAGAAGTTAAATATGGCAACAACAGAAGAAAATTCCTTTGTTGTAAACTCTAGCGTCACTTTGAGCTCTAAGAGTCTATAACAAATGATTCAGAAAAACAAAACTGATTACATGAGAAATAAGAAGCTTAAAAGGTAAAGTTGTTCATGGTCGGTGAGTGAAAGGAACTAACTTTACCATTTATGACAATGAGGTACATGACAGCATTAGACATACAATCCATCTTAACCTTAATAACTAAGTAATGAACTAACACACTGGGGAATTCTTTCAACTTTATCCCTATTAACCAAAAGAACAATAATACTGATATATATATACACATATATATCATCATCACTATTATAATAGTAAATACTATTACTGTTCTTGACAACAGATCTATGCTTTAGCTCTATAGCTAAGAATGAATATTAACTTCAGATAATGCTTCAAAAACCTTCAAACTTTGGATTCCTATGACTTTCTGAAGAGAAGATGGGGATACATATAAAGGTATAGGTCAACCACAAACTTACAGATCAAATTATGGTAAAGAGCTAATATTTGTGGATTGCTTACAATAGTGGAGGAAATCACCTCACCCACAGCCTTAAAAGGTCAGGTCGTGAGAAACCAAAGTGGGAGAGTAAAAATTCTAGTGCTTGGATTCTTATAAAAACCAAGAGCAATGATAGTTCTTCCTAAAGTAGGGGAGTAACTTGCTTTGCAAAGATTCCTATACTTAGTATGGGGTATGAGAGTAGAAGTGAGACAAATCTAAAAAGGGATATGAATGGCACTTGTAAGAATAAACATCAAATACACAATTTTAAGACATTAAAATTCTGAAAAAATATCTAAAAGACTGCTTTTCAGAATCAATCATCTCATAGGTGTGATATTTTCAATTTGATACCCGAGGTTGAGTCCTTCACCTAAAGGAAGAACCAGGAGAACAGAATCAAGCTGGGTTTGTTGGGGTGTTTTTCCTAAAAGTTTGTCAGAGATTGTCACCATCCCCATCTTCACCAGCACCTTTTCAGCTAAAAAAGATACTTTATAGATTTATATGTGTTTTTAAAATTCTAATCATGGTAGAATCAAAGTATTTTAAATTTCACTAAATATATGAACGCTGATGCTAAAAAACTTTTTTAAATACACTATTCTCAGAACCACTTAGTTGTGCTTAGAATTCTATAGTTACAATACCTAGTTTAAAGAAAATTTTAATGAACACAGACTAGTTATATACAAACACTTTTACAGATAAACATTCTGGAATCAATTTATCTATGAATCAAATGTTAAGAACAGTTCAGAGCAATATAGTCCAAAAACAGCACTCCAGAAACTGTGAAAATCATGTGGCCTTTAGGTAACACTAATAAAGAACAGGTTAAATGGACATAGCAGTATATATGTGCATATGAGAATATTCAGGTAATTCTAGAGTTTTTATCTGTATTATACTATCTATTTCACAGTAGTTGGTCTATTATTTACTATCAAAATTGCTTGCTCTTAATCACAATTGCTCAGTTTTTTAAATGAACTGAAGATTGCTAACTATGCTGCAATGAGCCACTACCAAACCAATTATAGTTAGTAAAGAAATGAGCTGTGACACTCTAGAATCTCTTTGCTTCTGATTTTCTCAATAAATGGATCTCTTATTTCCATAACCTTGGCATTACAATCTGAGCTTAATATACAAACTCTCTTTAAGGCAGGTATTTTTAAGTACAACTTGTAAATAATATATTAGGAACAAACTATATAAAGAATAATCTTTTTAAATATGATATATAGTTACTAGCTAACAGTCAATACCTTATCAAAGATGATTTACATCACTTTGAAGATGACTCTCGAAACACCACACTTAGAAATGAATTCTGTTTGTTGAATTTTTCCATAATACCAACCTGATGTTTCTGCTGCTGCTGTTTACTTGTATTCCTCATGTATGTGTTATATTTAACTATGTCTTGGCTCATTTCATCCACTCTGTCCATCAGCAACTGTAGATTCTTCCCCAAATGATTGCTGAAATGTAAAGTAAATATGCTGGTAAGTCATATTTTAATGTTATGGTTCTACCACTGCTCTAAACAGTTCTGAGATATTAAATTGATCTGCCATTTGCTAAAAGAATGAGAGTGCACATACACATAAGAGCAAGGGTAAGGGAAAGAATCCGAGTCAGCTTGTTATCAAACTTTCCATACCGAGCGCACAACTATAACACAAGGCTATCTGAAATAGCTCAGGTGCTTACTGTCAGAGCATACATATGTCAGGATACGACAGGCTGAACATACCTCGTGGGATATCTATAATGTACGTTTTCTGAACAACCAAGTTTAACCTAAGCTCAGAGTTCCGAAATCATTTTCCTGAGCACCCTCCCCGCACCCAAACTATACTCCAAAGCATTTAAATCAGTAGTCATAGGAACGGAAGATTCATGCAAACAGACTAAGACTTCTGGCACTAGATTTCTCTGATCTATGATTTCTCTATCTAGCAGGTTCTGAAAGAGCAACCACAGCATTTATTCTGCAAAGCCAGATGAAGAAAGAAAGAGGGCTCCTTTCCTCTTGCCCTTCCTAGAATCTGTGTTTTGGTCTTTCATACTTCTTTACTTCTCCAGAAATATTTATTGAAGCTCATTTACTAAAATCTTCTTATAAAGTCATGCTAATGGTTAGTACAATGACCACCATACCCATTGCTTTCTGCCTGCAACTATCTCCTATATTGGTAAAGCCTGCTACTACACATATGCACTCTAAAAATAACTAGCTGACAAACAGTACTCATTCATTCATTTCAAAGAGATATTTACTAAACACCTATTATGTTTCAGGCTAAGTGTTAGCAAACAGGGAAACAACAGTGAATGAGACATTCGTGATCTCCATCTTATTGAGCTTACAACTGACTGGGGGTGGAGAGCGGGGAAGAAGGTGGTAGACGGACATTTTAGATAGTATGGCGGGAATTCTCTCTTTAAGGAGATGACAGGCTGAAAGCAAAAGAGCAGAAAGTATCAGTCATGCAAAAAGTATTCTAGGCAGAAGAAAGCTCAAGTGCTAGAGGCCTGAGATGGGCAAGAACTAGGCAGATAAAAAGAAAACACCCAGCAGGCTGGAGCACAGTGATAGGTTAGGGAGGCCAGACAAGCATATATGGGAAGCCATCAGCTGCACCACACAACACCCCAATAACACAGAATGACTGAGACCCCTCAACTCCAATGTGAATGGTATCCTGGAGTTGTCTATGTTTGTGACATGTTTTGCCTTAAATTTTAAAACGACCAGTCTGGCTGCAATGCAGAGAATAGCCTGGAGATCAGTTAAGAGTCAACTGCGGAATGCTGGTGAGGATACGGAGAAATTGGAACACTCACACATTGCGGTAGTTTGCAAAGTAAAATGGTGCAGCTGCTGTGGAAAACAGTTTGGTGGTTCCTCAAAAGTTAAACACCAAGTTACCATATGACCCAGCAATGCCACTCTTAGGTATATACTCAAGACAACTAAAAACATATGCTCACACAAAAACTTGCACACATATGTTAATAGTTGCATTACTTATAATAGCCAAAAAGTGGAAAAAACACAAATGTTTATCCAAGGATGAACAGATAAATAAATTTTGGTATATCTATACAATGGAATACTATTGAGTCATAAAAAAGAGTAAAGGACTAACACATGAATGAAACCTAAAAACATTATACTAAGTAAAATAAGCTAGATACAAAAGGCCGCTTAACTGTATGGTTGCACTTATATACAATGTCCAGAATAGGCAAATCCATAGAGACAGAAAGCAATGAGTGGCTGCCAGGGGATGGCGGAAGGAGGAATGACTGCTTAATGGGTATGGAGCTTCTGTTTGCAGTGATGAAAATGTTCCAGAATTAGTGGTAATGGTTGCACAACATTGTGAATATACTAAAAACTAATGAATTGTACTCTTTAAAATGGTGGATTTTACATTATAAGAATTTTATCTCTACTTAGACTACAAACACATACACACAAAATCTATTGTGGTATTCCAGAGAAATAGTGGTGGCTTGGACTAGACGGTGGCAGGGAGCATAGAGAGAAGAGAGCAGAACTGCAAGAGGAACCAAGGGTGACTCCCAGTTTCCTAGCTTGAGTAGCTGACTGGTTGGTCACAGTATTTACAGAGAGGAGTGGAAGGCTGAGGAAGAAACAGATTGGGAATGAATGAAACTAAATTCAGTTAAAATAAGGATTCTTTATGGATTCCATCTATAACCTGAAGAAAATTAGATAGTTTTGGCTCTTTCTCAAATAGTGGAAAGAGCATGAAACTAAGTGTGTCTGCTTATGTGAGTTTATGTGTGTAAATAAATTTATCTTTTAATCCTAGGTCTGGCACTACCCACATAACCTTGACCAAGTGACTTGGCCTAATGACTCAACCTGTCCAGGAATCAAGTGTTTTTTCCAGCTTAAATTTTATTTCATATTTATCTTATTTCATTGTAATTCTGTGAATCACTCACTTTAAAATATTTCTTCTTCTTTGGAAACCAGACTAAGTATTTGTTTCTGTATTCCTCTAGTTTCTTAATAGTTTAATTCACCCATAATTTACGTGTTTGGGCCAACGATGCAAGGTGAAAACTAAAATGATTTTTTTCCAGTAGCTAATTAAATGTCCAAATATAGTCACACTGCTTTCCAAATAACTTCAGGATTAAAATTTAACAATACTGTGTAGTCTCACATGCATCCTTTCAACACACATTACTGAGTACATACTTACTTTGCCAGTCACTCTGTTAAGAGACTAAGGATTAAACTATATAAGACATTGCTGCACTTAACTCATTCTAATGCAAGGAGAGGAATGCAAATAGATAAATTCAACCCAGTGGTGGTAACTGCTCTAACAGACCTACAGCATAAAAGATAGTTTGGTAGGATCAGATGAGACTTTCCAGATTATCTGACAGCTGAATTTTGAGTTTTTGAAGAGGAGTTGAAGACATGGAAGGTGGGAAGGGACACCACATATTCTGGGCACAGGAAGCATGTTCAGAGACTCTGGCATGAAAAGCCTGACACATTTGAAGAAGTGCAAGTAATTCAGTACACCAAGAGCACAGGAGAGGGGCAAGACTGGGAAAAAAGAGCAATGAAACTAAAGAGACAGACGACAGTCACTGTGCAAAGACTCTCGGAAGCTAGGATTGTAAGTTTGGATTCTATTCTAAGGACAATGGGGAACCAGCCAAAAATTTTAAGTAAAGGAGTAATATGATCATACAATTTGCATTTAGCAAGATCACTATAAGGAAAGAGGAAAAGGTTAAAAGTAGGAAGTTAGGAGACTGCAAAAGTAATCAGGAATAGAAATAACGAGGCCCTGGACCTAAGGTAGCAAAAGAGAGACGTAAAATGAAATCATCCCGGGAATGTACACAGAGGAAGACGGACCCTGAGCAACACTGATGTTGAGGGGGGAGCAGAGGAGAGCGTGCTGTGTAGAATGAGAAGTAACCCAGAAGAGATGTAGTTTCATAGACTCCAGAGAAAGAATTTCAGAAGAAGGGGTTATCAAATATTAAATGTTTAAGAGTCTACAATATCCAGTCTTCTCTGACTTTAGTGAGACCTCTAACCACAGAGAATAGGTAGAACACTGCTAAGTGTTGAGGACAAGTGGGGAATGAAGAAATACAAACGGTAACATCTATTAATAAGTTTGACTATAAAAAAGGAGAAAACGAAGTAAAAGCTGAAAGGAGATGGATAATAATGGCATGAGATCAAAAGGTGTTCTTTTTGTAACTTTGTTGGTTTTTTTAAGATGATGGAGACTTAAGTTTAAATGTCCTTATTCTTAGGAGATGAATGCTCAAGTATTTAGGGGTTAAGAGTCGTATCTGCAATTTGCTTTAAATGGTTCAGAAAAAAAAAGGTACACCCTTATGTACATAAATAGCAAGAGAGCATGTGCAAATATGGCAAGACACAACTGGTGAATCCAACTAAAAGGCTTATGGGTATTCATTGTGTTACTATTCTTTGAATTTTTCTCAAGAGTTGAACATTTTCAAATTTTTTTTAAATATGGGAAAAACAAGTCAATAAACATAACAGGAAAGGACCAGAATAGAGAGGCACTGAAGCTATCTGAGGAAGGAGTGCAGAGACAAACAGTGAGATCCTGAGAAAGCAAGAGGGGTAGAGACGGGACTGCCCTAAGGGGAGACACCGATCCTTCCATTTCCACCAATGGAAGAATTGAGGTCCAAAGAGCTACAAGAAATGCCAGAATTAACCACATGATTAGCTGTTAAATAAATCATTGATGTCTTTAAGTGCAAAGGAATTCAGAGAAGGGGAAGATCACCAGCAATCTTATGACTGGGCAATTGGCGGGGAGGGGGCCAGGGCAGGGAGTGACACTAGAGAAATCCATAAAGGACAGGTCCCGCCATATGCAGAGAAAGATCTATTCTATTATTCGTTCCCTGACCTTAAATCTTGGAGACTGATTACCCTGACTTTAGCAATGAGGAAGGTACTACTAGAATAGACCCTCCCTCTCCACCAAAAAACGTCTTTAACATTAAGTACTAATATTATGTGTTACAGGTATATGTGATTATAGTGAAAGAAGACAAGCATAGATATACAGACTTCAAACATTTCATAACACTTACAGTATTATACTGCTCTTCAGAAATATATCCAATAAGAAATACTCAAAACTCTGGACAGTATAGGCCTTGAAGGTCAAAAGGAATTAACAATCATACACAACTGTTTCACAGATAACATTCACAGGAAATCAGGCCCATTACCAACAGCAAATTTAAGAGGATCTTTTCAGTACCAGTTCACCTGGAATACTGAAACAGGGAGTTATTCTTAGGAGTTTCAATAATATAGCCTTTTCTTTTACTGCCAAGGAAACAAAGAACTGAAAACAGATAACTTAGATGTGAATCAAGACGCGCAGTGATAAGCTGGTCTGGCTACAATACCAATGTGCTCTTATTATCCTTAATGTATGCAGGATGCCCACACTTAGTTTACTTTTTTAAAGAGGAAATAAAAACAGAATTCTTTTTTCACATGTGAAAAGCTGAAGGCTTGTATAATACATTTTCAAAAATGAATAAAGGCTGTTACGAAGTAACCATTAACAGAACTACCATCTAATAAAATTAAAAATTAGAATTTTTTTAAATGAAAGGGAATGTAGTATAGTTTATTCACAGCACAGAATAAATTTATCTGGCAAATCAAAGAACTGGTACCCACATACGGGTTGTGAAAAGCAAGACGAAGCAAAATGTTTAAGGAGCTGCTTAACAATGATTTTTGATATAATTTTGAGAAAAATTTTTATGGCAACTGGCCTGATTAGCAGCATCACACTATTAATTTTAGAAATTAAAATTTGATATGTACAAAGGTTATATTTCAGTCTTTTAAAATAGTATTATCAATTTGAGTCAATGGTATAGTCCAGTAGTATAAGCACTGCTTCAAGGTTGCTTCATTTTTTTCCTCCCAACTGAAACACCAATTTGCCCTTTAAATAACTTCACATGGAAAGCAAAGGGCCTCTCTTCCATTTCACATAAAATACAGAAGATAAAAACTATAATAAAATATTTGTCTAGATCTTAGTTGCTATGGAGAACTGGGAACATTTTCTTGGCTATTATAAATGCTGCTTTGGACAAACAGGCATTACAGACCAGCTCATTGGTAATGTGAAAGCACAGAAGGGCTATATTTGTTTTGTATGCTCAATAAATGAAGCTTGGGAAAAGGTGAAGACATAAATTATATAAGCAAAAACTTTCACATAGTAAATTTAAAATTATTATATAACTACATACTTAATACATCAAATTTTAACCTTGCATGCTGAAAAAGGTTCTTAGCTCAATGCTTTAAATACAGGTGTGCCAAGTGTGTTTGTAAAAGCCATAAAGAAAAATACGACCTTCTAAAAGAGACAAATTAAAAGACCATTATGAATATATGTTTCTAGTTAAACAGTACACTCTTTAGTGCCAAATTAGCCTTGCAACCTGGCTATATCATTTAGCACTCCGTTTACCATCCAATTTCCATCTCCTTCCCCTGTAAAGACTTTCTGGTGGCCTGTGATGGATTCACGCAATGGAAGGTGGCATCTGAACCACAATTCTACCCATCTCGAGGCATGGAGAAGAACATGGGGCTCTCCGGTCCTTCTGCGTTTATCCCACTTGTCTTATACTGAAGAAGTACTAAGTCTGTACGTTCTTTCGTACAAGCTTTATCTCAGATAACTAGAAATTTGATAATAATTGAGCTTCTGTCCCAAACTGGTTGCTTAAGAAAATGCACCTTGTTTCTTTCAGCCATTCAACAAATGCATACTGAATGGTTACTGCCTCTATCCATTTCATTTCATTCCACAGGTCTGCTGTTAGCCTTCTCCCACCACAAAACAATCACTCGCTTAGTGGGCATATGAGAGAAGCTACATACATGACTCTGTTCATCTTTCTGTTAAGAGCAATAAATGAGGAGAAAGAAATATTAATTCCATAAAGGAAACAATCTATCTGTTTTGGGACACCTCAGTCGGCATTTTACCAATACAATAAATAATATCTTAGCAACCAGATAACTAAAGCAGTTACAGTGGAGGAAATTATCTCACTACTGTCTAAGATAGCAAAAGCCAGTGTCAGGTTCAGAAAATTCTAATTTTAATTGAAAATTCAAACTGGAAGGTTACTACTAATAGAGTCTGCATCTGAACAAGGGCAAGTACCACCAGTAAAACAAAAAAGCGTATTTGTTTTTCTCCAAAGCATTATTAAATATCCAGCCATAATACCATAAGCCTCTAGGGACAGTGTACAATAAATAAAGCTGAGCCAAATAAAAAAACCCTCTCCCATTAGCATTTACCGTATCAAAGCAAAAATGATACAGCAAAGGCAGCAGAGGGTTCTTATAATAGGAGCTATTAGTATTCAAACACTGTTTCACTTTATCAGTTTGGCGTTTTTCCTGGGATCTTAGCAGGCCGGACAAGCACTACATGTTGTTACATATGTCTTAGTAACCTCAAAACAGCTTAAATAATTTTTTTCTTCCTTCACAGGTTAAAGCCTAAGTAAAAGAATCTTTTGCAGAAGGTGATAAAAAAGGGACTTTTCGTTAGGCAAGGCCTCTTACCTGCTAGCAAGACTGAGCAATTCATGTTTATCTGCTACAGCCGACTTCTTTTCAAGCTCCCACATTAGGACGTTGATCAGATGTGAGTTTTTAATTACAATCGGCACTTCTTCAAACATGTGCTCAAAGGTGATATTTCCCTTTTTCAATCTGTGAAGCATGTTAAAAATACTTTAGTCTGGTGGTCAGAAGTAAGTGACTATTTCATACATTTTCCCTAATTCCAGGCCCTCCCCAACATCTTTGTTTGTTTTGTTAGCATTCTTTACAAAAGGGAGAGAAACTAGAGTTTTGCAGAGTCAAGCATTAAATCAAGTGATGTGAATAACTTTGAAAATGACTTGAGTTTGATCTATAACCCAGAAAGTTAAGATTCTTGGTAAAAGAAACTTCTTTCTCTGTAATCAGTTATCTTCAAAACTTCATTGATACTAAAATGTAAATGTCATGGGTAGTTATGCTATATAATCTATATCCAAAACACATAAAATATAGCTAGAATAGAGAAATATTCTAGTTTTTGGAAAGTTCATTTTAAAAGCCTACTGAACTAAAGAGACTGACACCTAACAGAACGCTCACAGGACACTCCCCGTACAGTGGTTCAGAACACAGCAAGAATGCAGCTTCTCATAGCTTAGTTACAACTACCATATCCAGGAATTGTTTATAAGTTAGCTTTTCTTTCAAAATTCTTTGCACCTTAACTTCTTTAGGAGCCAAAGGGGAAACTAGCAACGAACTCTGTCCTATATGAAGTCAAAGCCACTAACTTTAATTTAATACAAAATAAAAATTCCTATAATTAACAGAAAATGAAAGAATACTGAATTTTTTAAAAAAAACTTTAATGTAAATATTCCAATGCCATTATGTAGGATCACAAAACAACTTTATCAATTACTTCTATGCATACTTATCACTCATAAAATTTCCAGTAAGCCACACTCCTTACTGAATACTTAAAACGTTTACAGCTTTCCCACCCCCATCCATGAAACAGGAGCTCAGAAAATAACACATACAGCTCTCAACCGTTCTGACATGGAACTTACAATCTGACAGCGCTGATCACTTGTTCCATCTCCCTTTATTTAATCATTTATTTCTTCAAGTCCAGTAGCTAATTAAGTCCCACTCTAACTGAATTCACCGTTGGTGAGAACAACAGATGAGACGTTCCATAAAGAATCATTTAAACAAGAAAAGGGAGAAATCAAGTGGCACTCAGCCATGCACAAACTTCTACCGGCCACATGGCAAAAGCATTACCACACCACCACCGAAGATTCAATAATGTGGCAAACTAAAATCTTAAAAGAAAATACCTATCCTTTACTATATGCCTCATTGGCCCCCAAACACTTACGCTTCAGGAGAAAAATCCTTCTCTTTACAAACTTCCATCAGTTTAGGAGTCAGTCTGTATGCCTTCAGCGATAGAGATCCTTGGGCAGTTTTTATGGGATCTCAAATAAGGAAAAGAGAAAAAAATTACTAAGACTTTTGCCATTACTAGTGCTCAAATGACATTGGTTCTAGGTGCATTCTGCTATTTATCATACAACTTTTACAAAATGAAAATCAAAATAAATAATCAGAACACGATTTGAAACAGATTCAAACCAGTACAGCAAACAGTAAGTGACAATGTAGGAACCTATCATCCTATTTATAATAGGCAGAATAACTTCCTAAAGGAAAAACAGAAGATTCAAAATACAGTTATTTTCAAAACTATTCCTCAGCTAGAACCAGTAATCCTGATGAAAATTAAATATATCATATGTGCTATATATGCTATATACATCTTGTATACTTAGAAGGAAAATATTGATGAAGTTTAAATATGAAAATTCACTGCATGCATGCATGTAGTTCTTCAGTCAACTAATTTAAATGAATAGCCCTGCAAACAAAATTTACCCATCCTAATAATCACTGTTCAAATTTCTTAGTTAAAACACATTTTAAAAATAAAACCGCTGAAGTCAAAGTGCTATCACAAAAGTGTCTTTTCAGTTTTAGAGAAACTAATTTTGTCAAAACTAACTGCTTAAACACTCCAAGAGTAAGGGAGCTTAGCACTTGCTGCATGATAACGGCTCCAGCATGCCAATATTCGCCTAAAACCTGTGTTAACATTCATGTTGTCTGAAACTTAACACAGTGAAACTTTTAGCAATAGGTGATAAAATGAAAACCAAAATAGATTGAAACAAGTGGAAAATTCATCAAGGTCTGATGATGCAATGTTTCCAGCCAATATAAGTACACTTTAACAACTTGTTCTTTACTGTAATCCAATTGTTAACATACTGAAACAATTTTGGGGCAGCTCATAAGATTGATCGTATTCATTAGTATTTTTTCTGACAGATACTCAGGACGTTACATTTACTTCTCAGCTGGAAACTATATGCAAGTCTGCCAGATATGGCAAACTGTGAGTGTTTGGGGAGGGGGAAGGCTATAAAGCTGTTAAATTGCCTACAGTTCTGATACAGCACAGAACATCTGGTCTGGAGAGCTTGAGGAAACACCATTAAATAGGCCGAAAAGAAAAAAATCTTTGTGCTAAGAAACAGTCCAGGTTTTGTACGCTGCTGTCAGAGGTATAAAAAAAACTTGGCACGCTGTGTTATGATTGGTCAGTCACGTACAGAGCCAGACACTTTAGCAATCGAGGTTTGTTAGACATCTGGTCCAGTTCCACCAGCCCCTTCAAATGAGGGAGGGGAGATGGAGGAATAAAAATGAAGCAGCTACTCCAGCATTCCAAAACGTACACATCAGGGCTCTGATAGCAAGAAAAATAAACAGAAAGAAGGAAACCCTGTCTAGACTTAGCTGCTGCTGAGGCTGCTGCAGAAACAGGGCTGGTATTTACTTGAGAAGGCCTGCCAGGCTGCTCTTAGAGGCAAAAAGACAGAAAGCAAAAATAGTAGTAATAATATTAAGGGAAGAAAAGAATAATAAAGGAAACTCCTACTAACCGTAAATGAGAACGACAGATTCTTCAATGGCATGCTGGTAACTGAACTGAGAGTCCAGAAGCGCCCGGGTGACGAACGAGCCATAGTATGTGGACTGGTACCAGCCCACGTGGAGATGATCGATGTTTACATGGCGAAGGCTCCGCATCATTTCCATCTGATACTGGACTGGATGATGGCGAGGAGGAAGATAAAAGAAAAATTATTTAATGATGTCACCAATAGTAAAAACAAGCCTTTCTGGAAACAAATTTCAACACAACTATTTATTAGCTAAAGGGAACAGGTTTCCAGATTTTAAAGTCATTCAGCTCACATATGAAGAAAATAAAATTAAGTTTCCAAATCACTTCGAATCAGTGGGGCTTTCCTTTTTTCATTAATGAAAAAACATTTTGTAGAAAAGGTATTAAAAACACAATAATAATGCCCTGTTCTAAACAAGGAATTATTAAATGTAGTTTCCACTCCCCTTTTTAAGACTCTAAAAATAGTAAATGTTTAAGAAAAAAATGTGTGTAATTAATAAACGGGTTGGTTCTAAGAAGTTTCATTCGAATTAACGAGTGAGAATAGTTATCAATGTCTTCTTTAACACAGCTTTTAGAACTGAGAAGTTGAAACCATCAAGAAAACTAATGGGAAAACAATTAACTACCACATTATTTAAATATGAACAGGATACAAGCTGCAGCTGATTTAAAATATAAGAATTCATTTTTGCCTTCATCTGGTGCCCCCTGCTGCATATGCTAAATTTAAAAAAGAAATCTTTTTTTCTTGTCTGTGTGTTCCTTTGTGTTAAGTAATAGATACTACTTCTTCATTAGAATGGAGTTATATTGCAATCACACTGTATAGAATGAAAAGTCTGGATGACTTGTAATTTTGTCAAATTAATGACTAAAGTATATTATTAACTTAAAGCAGTATTAATAGCAAAATAGGTACAAACTGACAATATAATAAATAAAACATTTAAAAAAGGAATATAGTCCAATAATGAGTAACAAATACCTAAAAAACTCAATCAGGTGTTAGCAAAAGTTAAGCTATATATCTGTCATTTCCTTGTTGCAACGGTATGGTTTTACAGAGCAAATAGGATTCAGGATCATAAAGTATAAAAGAACCTGCCTCAGATGAACGTGGTCTTATTTTCAATACTTGTAACTAGGCAAAGAAATTATAAATCTGCTTATTCCAAGGAAGGTTATATTTCTCATGATAACAGCAGCCAACTCACCAACTACTCAAGAATTACGTGGGTTTTTTGAGTTTTTCTTTTTATATGCATATGATGGCCCTCAAGAAGAAACAGTATAAAATTAATATGATAAACATATCAATTGTCTTGTATCTTAAATTTTAGTCTCTCTAGCACATAAGAGACCCCCTTCTCAGATAGTTTAACAGATTCTTATCAACCACATAAACCTGAGATAGAACCATTGCTACGGTCTCCTTCCACTTTAAAATTCTGTAACTCTTTTAAAGTGCAACTAAAATCACTTATTTCACTAACAAAACTTAATCAAATTTAACTTACAAATGAAAAGTCCCAATATCACAAGTAAACTAGAAGCCAGATTAAGTTTATTATTTACTTTCAAGGGACAGGGAAGAGGGGATGGGGAGAGAGTACCAAGCAACTGACAGTACAAATGTGATTTCATAGGATTATTTTTTAAAAATCAGTACTTCCAAAACATCTGTTAATGTACAATTTAGCTATTATATAAGCAGAGGTGAGATTCTACCAACTTGCAATAGTAGGAAAGAAGAAAAGACTTGACATCTGGATTCTCATGCCTGCTCTGAGATTTCTCTCGTGGGGGATCTTGCCATGGAGTTAAAGATCCTTCTCTGATGCTTAGTGGTCCCACCTCCAAAAAGATCTGAGAGCTCATCCCCCGTCAAAATGCTATGACTTCACATTGTTCACTGGATATGCTCATTGTAAGCAATGATTTTTCTATAAACTAAAGAAGGGCCTCCAGCATGCATTATAATAAAATAAAAAATGCAATTCTCTGAAAAGTATTCTGTAATCTTACTAAGTTTCCTCTCAAATAACCTGAATACAATAGATTTTATAATAGTATTTTCAGGATGCATAAGGCAAAAAACTCTATGATCAGTAGCAAACTTCCAAATTCCTTCTTCATCCAGAATCTTACCAGTATACCTTACAGGCCCTTGGGTAAGGATAAGAATGAAAACGAAGTGTTTCTCTCAGCTAAGGAAGAGACTAAGGGATATAAGGCCTGTTGCCCTGTGGAGTTACCACTGCTCCAATGTATTTATTTCTGGGGAATGAGAAGTGGAGAGACGAGCTTCTATATTATTCGGGTGTGTGGGGGGGGAGCACTTCCATTTTCCTCTTCTAGAGCTTAGAAAATCAGGACACATAAGATTTTGCAAGGCTTTAATAAAAACTTACTGTTAGGGTCATAAGAGTTTTCATTTGACCTAAATATGATAGACAAATATAAAAATTTAAGGGTTAAGAGCAATGACAGGTGAGTTGATAAAACTGCTTTTGAAAATCTACAATGCACTGGAATTTCACTATTACACATAAAAAAATGTGCTGGGCCTATTCTATGTGAAATTTCCAGACATTCTCTATCTTGGTGTGGACTTACTACCCCAACTTTAAAAAACACAACCTTAAAAAACAAAAAATGAATGTCCTCTTAGAGGCATCACACAAAGAAAGAGAGGATCTAAAAGGACTGCAAGTGATCCTTGAAAAGATGGGGATGGGGCAGTAGAGGCCCAAAGTGGAGGCGGGGTGCACTGAGGCCCGGTCCTCGCCCAGACGAGTCATAAGAGGCTCCAATAAATGCATGACTCAAAGGAGTCACTTTGGTTCAATAAAATTTTAAAAAAAGCGATTTTTTTTTTCTATTATATACAAACCAAGGAACAAGAGACAACTCACAAACAGACAGGTGAGTTGCTTTCTCTCTGCAGACTTTTAGGTGTTTGTCCTCCTTCTAATGGCGACACAGACACATGACCCTCATCTCCCTTCACCCACACGGTTTTTACTCTTCTTCCAACCCAAGCTTTCAAAAGGCACAAAACCAAACCCTGCAAAAGCGTCCCGGTAAGCCTAAGTAGAGATAAGAAATGCATAGCAGACTGGCCCACTAAACTGCTCAAACCACGTTCCCAGCAGCCATCATTCATCAACTGATCCGGGCCGCCACACCAGCTGACACCTATTTATCTCTTTGGCCAATGGAAGAGACAACAAAAAGAATCACGAAATGGTGACATGCCAGTAAATTTTACACAGGAAATAAGGATTTTAATCTCCCAGGTGAATGCCACTGCTTTTATGGCTATGCTAGTCCCTTTCAGGAGTTCTACTGGGGATGGAGGGGAGTATTTCGGGGTGGGAAGGTAAGGCACATACAAGAGATCCAATTTAGTTACAACAGTAAGGTAACAAGGGAGGAGGTTCATGCTATCTGGAAGTGGCTGTGAAGATGCCTTGTCCCAGCTACAGGGTCTGGGTGAGCGGGAGGTAGTTCTATTTGCCTTCTTATGCCCACCCAGGCCTCAGTTTCCTGGGCTGGAGTTTTAACAGGAGGGTGTAAAAGATGTGGCCAGATAGAGATAAGGTCTTATCTAGAGAGTGCCTCATACCTCAGAACAAAGAGAATCAAGGCAAAAGAAACACAGGGAAAAAGAAGATGGAAAAGAAAAGAATCAGACTCCTTGACAGAAAGCTCCATTACTCCATATTGCTGAGTTAATGCAGATCAATGAAGTAAGAAACAGGCATTTATTGACAACTTTGTGGAGCTGGTCCAGGGTTAGACACACTTTCATTTTTGTTCTAATGTTCACATATTTAACAGAAGCCCAAGCAGCAATTTCAACCAATGACATTCACTTCTGAGTTAACGGCTAAATATTCCTGGGGAATTTCCCCAAAGATGAATAGCAAGAGAAAAAAATTTTTGGAGGGGGGACTGTTTTAAAATTTATGGTAATATTCAACAGAAGAGCTCAGAATTGTGTAGGGAAAAGTTCAGGATAAAACCTTTTAAACATTCTTAGTTTTATAAAGCAAACACCCTACTGACTAAGGAGAAACACTGACAGCAAATGAATTTCAAAGACAAAGTGGTAGTTACTACTAAGCCAATTCAAATTACTAATACAAAAGCTACACTTAGGTGCAATTGAGGTGGTGCTACACAATTTGGAAGGATTATAGAACTGAGCTGAAGTTTTATAAATCTCTTCAACCTCTACAATTGTCTTAATTGGTTAAGCCTGTCCCAAGCAGAGGAGAGCCTGCTTTACAACACTGAACAACTGCTCGAAGTTTGGCACCCATATATTCACATTCACTTTTTCCAGATATCTTCTTTACAAAACAGTCAATTTTAAATTGCCTAGAGCTAAATCTGTCTTAACTGAGGTAGGCTGCCCAATAACTAACTATTCCTTTCAAAAATCTACCACATTTGCTGGGCTTTCTCTTGTTTTATCTCCAAATATGAAAACACTGAAAATAATATGTTGTCTTACACTTAAATGCTATATCTGTAGTTACACTGGCAAACAACCAGAGTTTGAAATTTGAGTTCTCCTGAAGATCACTGGGAAGGACAATGAATTAGAAGCTTTTTGGTTCAGTAGAATAATTAACCAGCATTCTTTGCATCTTCACTTCCTCACATTTTTAAAATCATCTTTTTGATTTTATTATTTTAAGTCAGTCCTCATGAAACACAATTTATCACTGAAAAACAGGAACAAAGAATTGCCACAAGTTGCTAGGCTGGATAAGCTGGAAGTAGAAAGTTAAAGCTGCAACATACTCTAAAACTTGAGATTTGTCTGGCAAAGGAAGAAAAAAACCAGATGTCATATCAGGGAACGGTTAAAGGACAAAGTAACCTAATTTAAATTTTAAAAATTAAAAACAATTGAATGGACCCACTGTCTTATTTAATCACTATATCGTATCAAATAAATCTAAGTTATTTAAAAATACATTATAATGAAATTATATTAAAAATATATACATAGATACAGCCTGGAGAGAAAGGATAGAGCTAAACACCAGGAAGAAAACTAGCACTTCGTGAGCACTTATTATGTTAGACTTCCTGCTGAGTGGTCAACATATGTTATCTGAC